AACTAGTTTTCCAGGTTTAGTTCAGAGAAACTGTTTTGTTAAGATTGAATTATCAATGGATGAGCAAAGATCTGTTGATCCTTTTGACGTAGCAAAATACCACGAATATAGATAGTATTTATTAACCAAATAGGAATTAACGCGGATGAGACACAACCGTTACTTCAATATCAAATTTCTTTATGTAAAGAGGAAAATGCATAGAATTGTTTTAGCAGATGTACAGCTTTCTCATGGCTGTATCTATGATTTGTACATAGGATAAAGCCTTTACAAATTAGTTACCGCATGTATGCAAGTCTCAATATCAGACAAAAAAAAAACATTTTTAGATGATTTAAGGATTTAACAACGATCCATCACTTTAGGTATGGGAAAACGTTTTATATTTTTTATTGTGTAATGTGATGAGTCATTTACTTGGGAAATACTTTATACAACAGACATCTTATTGTTTTGTCGTATTATAAACTTCAGTTTTTCGACATCAATTTTCACGATAGCGTTGGAAATTGCAACAAAAACGGACGACTCCTCTAGAGTTTTGTGCAGAGCAGTAAAACTCACCAATGTGTACACTCACCAAAGCCTTTGACAGTGGGAGCGGAAAAGTTTTATGGCAGATCTTGGAACGATTGGGATATCATGCCAAGTTTCTGAAAATGATCATGCTAATGCATGAGAATCAACGCGGCCAAATCCTGCCTATTCAACCTGAGATGACTGAAGGCCCACACCAAAACCTTAAATTACCACGTCCGGGGGCTGCTTTTTGCCGATGATGCCGCCCTCGTCGATCAAACGGAAGCAATTCTTCAACGCCTAACATTGTTTTGCATAGGCGGTAGAGCTTTTTGGGCTAAAAGAAGACAAGAGTTCCCTACCAATCTGCACCACAGGACAATCACTTTCATCCTCGCATCACCATAGGTGATCACTATCACCTATTGGTTTTTTGTGAGCAGCTGGTTTAACAACCCAGCTTATGTACATTGATGGGTGTGCTGTAAAAGTATCTAATCTGATATTCATGCTTATATCAAGTGGTCATATCTAGACCTCCGTTAAATAACGCATTCTTTTGTTTACGAATTCTTTTGCCTGAGAATTAATCTATTATATAAAGATCTTATATGCAGCTGTTTTGGAACACTAAACATACCCACCGTATAAGCTCTAGAAAGGACTGACAATTTTCATTGAGATCATCATCTTCCGATTATCATCTTCCTTTCCTCACAATCAGTTTGCAGAAATTAGTTATTCTCTTTGCCTCTTCTAATCATTGTCAATTCTTTTATATTTCCAATTTGCACTGATTTTACTCATTCCTACTCATTATCAACGAATTAACTACCGTAATCTTCGCCACTTGTGTTATTATATCTTATCTTACGTGCGTAAGTCTTACTAAATTTTTACTAAATCTTATTTTACACACTACCACTAACAAATCCTTTCGCAACACATGAGTCATCTACCGCCAGCATTTGAGACTCCTCGAATGCTTTCACCAGTGCTCCCTTCGTACATCCTAAATAATCACTAGTTTGACTACATATCCACTGTTACTGTTCTCACACAGGCAGAGGTTGCCATATTGAGGGCATACTACTGAAGTCACAATTGCGCTGGACTGGACACGTCTCCAGGGTGAAGGATCACCGCTTTTCTAAGACTGTGCTCTGTGACGAATTGGCCACGGGCTTCGAGGAGATACAAGAACCCTGGAGCAATATCTCCCTTGGCTATATAGAACACCATCAGTGGCCGCTCTGGCTTCGAATCGGGAAATATAGAGACGCATCATCCATGATGTTGCTTCCTTTGAGAACAACGCAGAACCAGCCTCGAGGACAAACGACAACGCAGAAAAAACCGTTTCTCGTCAATTCGCCTAAACAGACCTTCAGTGTGTCTTTTGCACCCGAACTTGTTTATCCCGCATTGCCAATGGCGAACATCGGTGCGCCTGGAGCAAACGCGAGTACAATCCTTCACATATCTTCATTCGCGAAGTCTAACCGCGACTACATATATAAACTTTAAAGTTCTAAAGCCTTATTAATTTCTCTCACTTTGTATAACACTTCTTGCATCTAACGTTTCAGGAAACAAAATTAGCTGCACTCTTTAAAAATTCAAACCCCTCAATTGGCAAACCTCAGCAGTATATTCATCATCCACTCCATGTCACCACTTGTTATCGATATTATCAGTAATAACCTTAGGTTTATCAGTTTTTAAAATTCTGCATATTCTACAATTAACAACTCTCAATTATAGAGGAGTGAGGGGAGAGTTATGCTTACCATCTACATAATGCTGCATAAGAAGACACAAAGAGTGAGATGGAATGGGATGGTGCAGAAGAATTTCATATCGAGTTCACAATTACTCGTTCATATTTCAAATGTTCTCATAATTAGAAGTCAATGGTGGGATCCTCTCTGGTGTCTTTGGTATGGTTCTATGTGAAAAGTATGGGCTACAGTTTGACCTGAAATGGATCTTCTACACTGTCTTTATGTATTAATTGTTAAATTTGTCATCATTATGGAAACAAATCTCGACCCATTTGAGGACTTAATTAGCTGATCTATATGTTATTATTTGCAGGTGTGAGACCACTTACAGGAAATAAGATGATTTCGAGCATACCTTGGTTAGTCTTCTTTCTCTTGTCATCTCAAGTCGATAAATTTGCATAGGAATAATCTTTATCGTTGCTGAGATCGTTAGTCCGGAAAATCTTCGGATTTTGTTGTGGGTACAATAATAACGATTGAGTTGTAACGAAGCAAGACTGAATGCGTTTCATGAAAGATGTAGTTAAACCGAGAAGAAAAAGACGTATAGACTAGCAGAAATCAGGTAATTGAATCAGTAAGACCATAGGTAAATTGAATTGCACCACTGATAGTTTATTCTGGCTATCATGCAGATTTTGCCTTTGTGTTACAGGGGATTGACAATGAAGTTTCTTTGTGTTGCTTGACACGCGGGCAAGGAATTTGATAAAGGTTTATTGATGACGATGATAGATTACTTACTTGATTATTAGCGAATGTAGAGAACACTGTTATGATTGAGTTTCTTATTGGAGTAAAGAGGAAATTTAGCGTGTCGAGCAGTTGAATTGGAATTTAAGATAAGGTGACTTGTGGAACACCGAATGAAGCTAAGTCTTTAATACGCAATGGAAACCCTTTATACAGTAGGGGTGGTTTACAAACCTAATACGATACATACAAGATCAATGCCCAGGCAAGAATTTATATTTTTTTTTCGATTAAAGGAATTGGTTAACGGAAGCGTAAGATATGTTAATCATTGAATATAAGCATGATTGTTAAATTAGAGGATCTTTACATAAACTAGGTGTCAGTCTGGATGCTTCTTAACATATTGAAGATTGCAAATAGCTTGGTTATCAGACCGGATATCCTTTACAACAATGTCATAGGAATTGGATAAGTGATCCATTACTTAAAGCGTTGAAAACCTTTATTTTATTTTTGTGCGACGAATCATTTACCTGTGAAATATTCAAAATAAGACAAGCTTTATAGTGGAAGTCTGTAATATATTCATTTTCATTGCCTTAACATATTATAAATTTTCTTGCTTTTCCCGACATCGGATGATATCAATAAACGGTCGCATACAAAAACATTTGATAAGTTGTCACTAATCACTTTTTTGTTAGAGGCAGTCTTACATTTATTTTCAATATCAATAGAATTCATTCTAGTTGTAGCTTTCAATACATGACTAAATAATAGGGCCTTATGAAAATTGCTTCATCATTGCAGGGTCGAGAAATATCGGCCAAAAATGTTATCAGAAGTCGTCGGAAATGAATTTGTTGTGCAACGTTTGGCTGCCTTCGCAAAGCAAGGGAATACACCAAATATCATTATTTCGGTTATTTTTTAATGTGCTGTTTCATGTTAAAAGTCTTTCAAAATTCTATTTTTGATGCAAATTTTGTTGGCATATAATTCCTTTTTGCATATAATTCCTTTTTGTTTTGATATTATATTTCTTAAGGGACCACCAGGGTGTGGCAAAACAACGAGTATGTGGGCACTAGCACGAGAGATGCTTGGTGATCGCCTTAAAAGTGCATGCTTGGAACTGAATGCTTCCGATGATAGGTAAACATTTTTCAAATTATCGTTGCTTTTAATGCTTATTTTCTTTTGGATCTATAACCTTGACTCTCTGCTCACATCATCCTCACATTTCCAGTTAAGGCTTCGCTTGGTTATGTTTTGTCTGGAAAACACCTAATCTATTTTGAGGTTATTATCAACAACTTCAGGGGGATAGACGTTGTGCGAAATAAAATCAAAAACTTTGCACAAAGTAAGGTAACGTTACCACCGGGAAGACATAAAGTGGTTATACTGGATGAAGTGGATTCAATGACGGAGGGAGCACAACAGGCGCTCCGCAGAACAATGGAGGTATACAGTAAAACGACTCGTTTTGCACTTGCTTGTAATCAGTCTGGGAAGGTTATAGGTAAACTTATTCATACATTTCAATTTTATTAAGATAGCCTTTCGTGGGAATAATTCTCTTCACTTCTTTTTGTACATAGGTGAATTGTCAGTGAGAAAAAGCAAACTATTTGGAAAAGCTGTTCTGGAGAACTTGGCTAGGAATTTTCTAATTAAATTATCTTGATGTATTGCCATTTGCTTGCAAGAAGTTTGCGAGAAAATTACCCGGAAAATAAGAATGTATATTCTTGAATTGTTGGGTTATTATTTGTTGAACCATTTTAGAACCGATTCAATCTCGGTGTGCTATTTTACGGTTTTCGAAACTTTCTGAGGAACAAATTGTGAAAAGATTGTTGCAAGTATGTGAGGCAGAAAGAGTAACTTACGATGATAGCGGGATTGACGCCTTAGTTTTTACTGCCCAAGGAGACATGCGACAAGTAATTTTTTTTTGAAGTTAGCGCAGATTCTTATTGATTGGCAGTACAACTATGACTATAAAGTAAGGGAAGTGTTGGTGGGCAGAGCACGTCGTTTGTTTCACTGACAGAAATGGATCACGCATTACTGAGTTTTCCTTGAAATGATTGTTTAGCCTGATTAAATACATATTGTTTTTATCATTTACATTATGGATGTTTTTTCAGGCTCTCAACAACTTACAATGTACAGTAGTTGGTTTCAATAATGTCACGGCTGATAATGTTTTCAAGGTAAGCACTTTGACTCGCTGTTACTCCTCGTTGTAATAGAAGTGAAAACTGTGATATTCTGATTAAAATTCCCGTCTTTTGAATATTATTATACTTATTGTTGGTTAGTCCTCCGAGTAACACTTGATTTCCGGAAGTTATACAGTCGCATAAGATGCAAGACATAACGGGAAATGGATGTTAGAATCTGGAGGCATATAGCTTCAAGGCTGCCTGAACCCATGAGAGTCATGTAGTAGTGGAATGATGTAAAAGCGATTAGTTTTGAGAATTAATTATGTGTGATTTCATTCAACAGGCCGCAGTTGTATAAGGCAGTAAGCTTGTAAACTTCCTACTTTTGACTTTAAAATTTCATTTACCAAAGAATTTTATGAGGTACAAAATAAAGGTATGTGATGAGCCACATCCACAAAAGGTAATGCAAATGATTGAGCACTGCATTCATGGAAACGTCATCAAAGCTGGTGAAATTTTGCACAGTCTTTATCGGATGGGTTATTCATCAGAAGATATCCTCAACAACATGGTTCGTGTGTGTAAAACAGTCAACATTCCTGAATATTTGAAACTGGAATACGTGAAGGTATTGCTTCTTTTCCACCTGGGGTTTATGAAATTGATGGAATTGAATAAGCTTATACGGTGTTGAAGAATTAGTGATTTCAGGAAATTGGTTTGTGTCATGTGCGAGTTGTGGAAGGACTTAGCTCACTGCTTCAATTGTCTGCATTACTTGCTCGAATGTGTCTTAAACAAAGTCAGTGAGCTTTGGTTATGCCCAAGCAGCACATGATCATATCTCTTTATGGATAAATATGTTACTGATCTGCATTGGCATACTTATATGAGAACATGTATTCATTTAGAACTGATGTTTAGCATCATTCATTAAAAGAGTACAATAGATATATTACTTAAACTTTTCAGCGGCAGCAATTCGCCTCTCCTTTTTCTTCTTTCCGTAATAAATTCCCAGCGACAATACCAGTAAATAAGATGGCACCAAGCCACTGGAAAAATAGTGATGAAAAATGGTATGAATATCCTTCGCCCTCACTGACATTTAAGATGATCTTAAGATAAATTCTTTTGTCCTGCTGTAGTCTTCCTTGAGATCTGTTCCAAGATATTTTTTTCAGTTTGTCATTCTGGGTCAAACCCAGTTTTACATTAAACCTCTCTTCTTGAGAGAAATTATGAAAGTCTTTCCTCTGCATTTCAGATGTATCTGCAACTTTTGCTGCGTATTTTACTGAATTTTTGTCGAAACTGACTATGATGTTGTAATTTATCATTGATAAGTTTATGTCCTTCATTTTTCAAACAGAGTGCTGGAAAATGCTTGCTAACTATAATCATGGGGAAGGATGGAGACGACTCATTTCTTATTTGTGGAATCAGCTGATACTATTAATATAGTCTTTTGTGCTTGAAAAACATTAACATATTGTCTTACCTGATTAGTTTTAAATTTCTTCCAGCAGTCCTTTGGGTCATTAATATCCACAGCACCAATTTGCCATGCAAGATGTATTCCAGTAGCGGCTAAGGTTCCGTAAAAAGGCCACGTCTGCTGCACCATAACACCTGTCGTCCCAAAACCTAGTATGGTAAGAACTGCGAAGCCAGTCAACCAGTATTTTGTCTTATCACCGAAAAGCAGGGCCGTAGATTTAATTCCAGCAATCAGATCATCTGTTTTGTCCTAAATGGTCAAACTGAAGTATATGAAATAATAAAGAGTGCACCTGAAACAAAAAAATAGAGAATGTAGTGCTTTATTAGTGTCATTTAAAAAGGGATAACTTCCAACATATTTCTATAAGATGATAATTCAAATCATTATGCCATTGATATGTTAGTGGAAATTTCCAAGCGATCTATTTCTACTCCTATGATATCGTCCCATTGTCAAGTGATCTTTTTTAGTGTTTTTGTCCATAACATCTGTGAGATATCTGGGATATATTAGAGTATACTGTGTCCAAGCCTATTCCACCTGATGAGCATATATTGTGTCGTAAATCAGAGTCCAGTTCACCGAAGCCATATACAGTAAAGGCAGCGCTATGCACAATTCGTCGCGTATAACGGCCCAACCCAGCAATACTCCCCAGTTGAATGCCAAGCCTGTGGAATCAGTAGTATTGTATAATCCTTGGATTATTACTCCATTACGATTTTTTACCCTCATTGTTTGATCAAGCAGACTACAGTACAAAGAATGGCTGATGCAAAACTCAGTAGTCCTAATTAAGTCCTGGAATTATAGAACTGCATCTTATCCCACTATAAAACGTGGAAGTTTAAATTAAGTCTCAAAAATAAACATCCATGAAAACTTAAGAAATCTTCGTTCTAGTAATAATGGGATAATTTTTGGGTTAGAAGCTTCGGAACTCGTCTGGAGCATTACCTTTGTGAATGCCTTCTGAAGACAAACAGAAAGAAAAATAAACATCTTCAATAGTATGAACTGTATAAAAAGATATTTAAAGATATAATTAAAACACATTTTCCTCAGAAGACTTAGCATTTTCGACGACAAACGCTAGAAAAAGCATTAGCATGCCATGCGATTTCTGTACATTTGTTAATTACGATTATAATAAAAGCCCTGGAACTCATTTCTTCCTAAAGACTAGAGAAAATCGGTATTACCTTTACTGAACGCCTTCTGAAGAGAAGCAGAAAGTAAAATGAACACCTCCAATAGCATGAACTGTGCAAAAGCAAAAATATAGCTGAGTTAGTGAGTAAGAAAAATGAATTACTCCCGAAATGTAAAATAAGAGTAAGGAACAGAATAAAGCAAGTATCATATTATTGGAAAAAAAAAGCAAGCAGGTAAAGAAAGCATTTTGGAAGCAGATACAACAGAAAGAAGACAACAGCACTTTTGATAAGGACTAGAAGCCGTGTTAGATAGCATTCAAATTTTAAATACTGCATTTCAAATTTTCCGTAGCTCTTTTATAGGTTTTTCAAATTTGGTAATATCAGGCATGCCGTCAGTGGTGTGAAGCTTGTCTAGCTGAAACGCGATAATGTAAGATATAATACCTGGTGACTATATATGGTATCATATGTGGCAGTGTAAAATACGGTAGCAGTATATAAAGGGATGACGGTAAGTAGTGTGCTCGGACACAGGTGACACCACGCAATGAATACTCCCCAGTTAGAGGTAAGCCCTGAAATTCTTGAACAAGAAATTAATGCTCAAGTTTTCGATGCATTTTCCAGTTTTTCAAATTGCGCAATCAGTGATACTGTGAGAAAAGCATTAGTTTGCAAGGCACCGCAATCAAGAAAAAATCTAGCAAGTTGGCAACAAAACCAAATCTACTAGTTTCTGAAAAATTCTACCTTCTCTAAAACGACAATGCCAAACAATTTAAGGGAAAATATTTATCAAGTTGGAAGAACTGTTAAGAGTACCAAGAACGAACTGTGGCCAATACGTATAGCGCTTTGCGAATGGATATACGACAACTAAAGGTAATGAGCTAGCACCCACAGCAACACTGAAATTGAAGATATTCAGAACGACTTATTTTTGACACCAAAAGGCATCAAAGTCAAACTTCACCTATTTCATTGCAAGTGCTCATCATTACAACAGCTAAACTTTAACCACCAGTGATACTTGTGATTAAAGCACAATTACCAGGATCCTGGAATATCAAGTTTGACTGCTCGTGTCATTTCTTGAACAAACCTAACACATCAGGTAATCTATGAAATAGTTCATATTTGAAATATGGTGCTTGAGGAAACACAAATTCCAGAAAAACGAAATGAACGAAATGAGCAATAGAAGAAACCTGAACCAGGTGAACTGCAGAAGTATCGAAAGTGATCCAGACAGCAACAGTGCAAGAAGAGCAACAGCTTGTAGGTTATTAAGTTCTCCACTTGCAAGTGGTCTTGATTGTGTCCGTTCAACCTTAACAGTAAGAGTGAAAACAAAGAAACAGAACAGATCATCTGGTTGTACTCCACATCTAATGTGTCAGTTGCTAAAGAAATCGAAAAACGCACAAAATGAATGAAACAGAAGTAATAGCGTCTAATACTAATACCATTCTGTCGTAATCTTTATCGAAAATATCGTTCATGATACAACCGGCAGAACGCATTAGAATCGATCCAGCACCAAACAATGCAAGCATTTTCAGATCGGGCAATGAACCTGGCGCTGCAGCTAGCGCTATTGACCATGTACACGGCCAATACAGTAACCAAAAACCTACGCAAATACCAAATAGTTGCTCAGCTGTCGTTTATATCAGTATATTTTGAATAAGTCTTGAATTTTTTGAAAAATTAAACAAGGATTCACGAGATTCACGAAGATTTAGTAACATGATGTAGTGAACTACAGTGTATTCTCCATATAATGTTTAGAACAAGCAAACCAGTGGGTTTATCGATACGCATCAGCCTCAAGTAAGGCTGTATACTTTTCGGTGAAACTTCAACCAGAGTTGCTCCGGACAATGCTCTTTGTGCTTTGACAGAAGTAAGCTTTGGAGTGAATGGCACTGATCCTTTCCTGCACAGGAATAATTGCCGAAGGCACCGATTTGATAATACATTCATCTCGCAGTAAGTTTTTCCACACTCATCATGATATCTGCAATGATCTTGACCTAAGAAATTGTGTCATCAAACCAACTTGCGAGCAGGATTATGAACACTTTAATAAGTAGCTACGATAGCTTTAAAGAGGGAAAAAAAGCTGTCGAGCAGCATAATGTGCAAAAAGAAATATATAAAGCGAACAAGTAACGATAATTTACATGTGGGTAATAGCAGCAACGGCTGTATCCAAATATTTATCAAATCACTATATTTGCAGAACAGAATACTAATTTTGACCAGTCACTCCCAAGAATAACAATGCATATATAACATAGTCTTAATAGAAAGTCAGAAATCGACCAACATAATTGATTTACACAGTCAACCCTCCCTTACACCATTCAATTCTTTTTCTCCGGATAACATAATCTTTGGATTTTCATTAAGACGAAAGAACAGTCTGAAGTGTTGAAAGCGAATGTGCTTTTGACACATTTTGCAATATGAACGGCGATAAAGCATCGTCCCTAAGATTTTCTTTGCATCGCTTGCATACAATCAAACTGCCCAACAGTAGCTGTGCAAAAGTTGGTATTCATGCGAAATTACTATTTATGAAGAAGTGGATGGTTTACCTATCCTGCATAACAACAGAGCATTAGAAATGTCCCACCCTCAAATGAAACAAAATCAAAATAAAGGGGATATCACAAATAAACAAACAATATGAATGTTATGCTGCTCATATGTTCTTCAGGAACCATTAAATCGAGCAGTTAAAATTCTGTTAATCACCATTTATAAGCCGCATTTTTGGGTCAGCTTTTGGACGAGCTTAACATGTTGCTCCTTGGCTTCTTCGCTGACATACCTCTAAAACAGCGGATAAGGTCATTCCACATTGTGAAAAACACGATTGAAGTTTTAATGAAACTTAAATACCCTAAGGTCCAACAATATCCGCAAGTGTTGGATAAATGAATTCTGCTGATTCACCGTCAGTGAAACATGTAAAATAGTTCCAATCAAAACAACCTTTACCACATTTAAAAAAAGCCTCACAAGGCCACTTCTAAGCTTGCAAATTGAAATTTGCAGTGTTTTCAAAGGAGGATATGTTCAACGCGACAATTATTGGTAACCTCTTTTTCGTCAACTTTCCTTTTTGGGGCGAACTCTGAAGTCGACCCACGGTTTGCTAGTAGTGTTACCACCCATAACAGCCTGCTTATAGAAGTCACAAAGTTTAGCAACTTATTACCCGTCGGACGCTCCTTCAACTCCTTCACCTTGACCACGGCCCCATCGATCCTTCATCTTTCTTTCTACCTACCAACATCCCTTCTTTCTACCTACCAACACATGCACCCAACCGAAACTTATCGCATCCCCTACCACCAGTCACCGTCCTATGTCATAGCAATGACGACGAGACGGACGTGTTCATAGCGTCCTCTCATCAAAGTACTCTGATTCGAAAATTCGGGCAGTTTGGGTTGGGTCACGTGCTTTTCATTAAGACGTATGAGTGCGTAGTGTGTAATGTGGATGGGTATTGCTTTTGAGTTTGTGTCTGCGTGTTTGTGCGGGTGTGTGCTTTTCCATGGGTTCAGTTGGTTCAAAGCTCATGTCATCACTCTCGATGGTCGCTGTTGCCATTAAAAATATTTTGAAGGTAACAATAGTACGTAGAGATTGTTCCATATAAAGGGTATCCAGCATGGGAGATTGAAATCACTAGAGCTCAAGTAAACTAGTTAGTAGTATACTGCAGGAATTTTATGATAACAAACGAAGGAAAGGATGAATGTAATATCTCAAGTGGAAGCACCGGAGGAGAAGACTGTGGATCGTGAGAAGGTTACTTTTTATAGTCATCGGTTTTCCTTATGTGATCTATTTTTCACTGTTTGCTTTTGGAATGGGAACTTACTTATATAAAAGTTAGTCTGACTTCTAACTTGGACTCGACAAACAAGAGAAATTGACCGTTTCTATGTCTGTTTAATCAAAATTAAAGGGGCTTTGTTATTTCTCATTTATGCATAACTTTCATTTCAGGTGTGTCCGCTTTTGTTACGAATATTTTGTGCAAACGGACGGCATAACCCGTTGTCGGAATATGGACGTGGCAGTACCCCAGCTAACGAACTACAGATTTATACTTGGTATTTTGTTCTCACGTAGAGTTCATTTTTATGAGAACTGAATATTACTGCTACATTAGTACATTAGTGTAAGGCTGTGTACTTCAAGCATTTTGCTTTAGACCGTTATTTAGCTCTCATTTTCTTAGCTTCACTATCTTGTTGAGTTATTCTTGATGTCGTAAATATTGCCGTAACCCAACAGTGAATCAAAACAATGGCTTAACGGTTGCTGGGTCAAAAAACAAACCTTGTTCCAGGCTGGACTGCACCTTGAGAGAACTAATGTCATTGATCAAGGAGGTGAATCCAGATGCTCGGCGTCGTGGCACTACGTTTGACTTTGCAGTCGGTAATACTCTAAGATTAGTCACTGATAAAATAATAAAGCTTGGCAGTTTATTAATCTTTTAGAGTGAACGTAGGAAAAAAAGAAGTTGACTAAACTGCATTAACACAGGACTACAAGGTCGATAACTTGGTAACTCTGTCCTGATGCTGTTTCATTTACAGCCTAGAACTTAGTTGTTTCATGAAGTCATTTCCATCTCATTCATACCACAAGTAACGTCTGTAAAATTCTGAATTCGATTTCAATTTCAGTAGCTCCAGACCGCTTCACTCCGCGATATGTGATGAGGGACATCGGCAACACAATGAACGGGCAACGTGGTGTGGACGACAATAAGACGGTAAATTTCACTATTTAAGGAACTTTAGTTTTCAAGCAATAAATTTATCTCCAAAAATTTCCTTCTCTTTTGAGTTGTTCGATTGGTTTCAAATTATGAGATCGGTGCGAATTTATCTGAGATACTGTCCCTTCCTTTCAACTTTGAAACAAGGATCTGAATTGACTCTAATTCGTGAATCATTATGGATTCTTATAGCTCAGATTTTAAGAACTTGGTATCATTTCTCTGAGGGCTTAGATTTGCAAATCTAAAATTTGTGTAAAAACGTATAATTTCGCGCTTCACATCATTCACCTTATAGTTAGCAAATTGCAAATTTGAAATTGGTGATTTTATCGATGTGGCAATTACATTGCCAGGCATTGGGCCTGTTGGACCGATATTACGGCGCAGTGGAGGATTACCAATCCGAGATCGATCCCCAGTACGGCGAAGGGTTTACTAAGTTAGCTTTATACTTTGTATGCATTTTCGTTAACAATACATTCTGTATAATGACCTGCATTTGCTGAAGGATTAAATTGTTTTTACATGTTGCTTGTGGAAATAAATTTTTGAATGATGCAGAACAAAATTCCACTTTTGGACAATTATTTAGCTTACTCATCATAGTGGTCATGTGTATTATTCATTATTAGAAATTGCTGCCCAAACAAAGGAACTTCGCCAATCAACATTTAAGCGGAAAAGTTCGCGTAAAATACACGATTAGCATTAGAGATTCTTGGTTTTAAATTCTTTATGAATTTTATCGTCACAGCATTGTCGTGCTTTGCAGTTCATTGTTGTACATCACGATAAAATCACTTTATTGTCTACAAATCAATATATAGGCTTATACTGAAAAATTGTTAAATTTATTGATAAAAGATTTAATGTTTTTATATGCATTCAAATTCATTTGAAAATACCAGAATATATTGGATTGAGGAGCATCATTTCTCCCTCTTTCAATATAAAAACAGCTTGAAGTTGTGATTCACTTTTAAAATGTGGCCAAGTTGGGCGGCTGTTTTTGTGACATATCTTGTAGTGGGTGCTGTTGAAACTGCATGTTCCATGGAGAGTTTGCCTAAGTTTGATGGGTATTCTTTCCAAGTAGTGTTTGATAATAGAATTAGCATCTTGTGAATTATTATTTAGGGAACGATTTTTCTTATCCACTTAACGTAACCGTGGAGCTTTACGCAGACGTTGGGGGACGTCTATTTCAGTGAATATATCCATTATTTGCTGTCATGGGACTGTAAACTAACAGTAACACGAAACTGGAATGGTAGTTCCTTGCGAAAATTTGAAATCGTCTCAGATAGATTGAATATTTGTAAATCAGATGGAACAGGGAAGCCAATACATTATGTGCAGGTTCACCCTGAAACACATCCATTCCCATTTCTGGTGTTCATTATTCATTTTCACAAAGAAAATGGCACCAGCACAAACTTATGGAGAGTAGTAAGGTGAATTTCATTTTCCAAATCATGATGGAGGCATGAAGTAATGGATGAATTTTAAATTCAAAAAGTGGTTGAAATGGATTTGATAATTCTTTTTCCATATCACTCTTTGAAAATTAAAATTCCGGTCAAATTACCAAGAAATTTGTAATTTGTCGAGAAATTTCAGAATAAATATTACTGCGATAACTCACAGGAAGCGCTTACACCACACAATTCTTGATAGCATCTTTACCGAATATTCAACACTCTATACAGACTATCCTCTCCAAACTTGTACTTACCACACCATGAGCAGTATTTACTGCTTTTGGCAAAAAGGTATCGAACAATGGGCACAACTGTATAATGTGTCGAAAAGTAGTACAACAGAGATGGAATACAGGTTCCTTTTAAAACTAGAATCTGAAATTAAAAATGAAGTAGCAGATATGATTTAAAATAAGGAATTCAACAATTTCAAATTCATGGATGGATTTGATGATGTTAGGGAATTCAGTTTACAGAGCAGCTAGTGAAGCATTTTGTTTGGAAGGGCATCCGAATTTGGGTAAGATCGTGGGCAGTTTGCCTGGATCCATTCCCCGTGTGCTTATGTTTGATTACAAAATACGAGACTGGTTATACGAGATGCCAATTTTAATGAATTTGACGGTACCGGGACGACGGATTCATGAAATGCGCAAAATTGGGAAGGTATTTAAGGTCACTTATTTTAAAAATATCATTCAAGGTTTTAGATATGAAAAGTCAATGCTAATAAGTGCTTAGTCCACGTCTTTGTGTCGTTTGTGGGGAATGACTGATTCTGTTAGTATCTCCTCATCAATCGTGTAATGGTAGTAAATCACAATCACTGGCAATCATATGTTAAGAAAAGTTGATATACTGAGATCCAACTTCTTCAAAACTTGGTAGTTGAAAAGCTTAAACGACCTTATTCCTGTCATTATGAATCACAGCGGCGGTTTTTTATTTTAGGTCACATAAATGCATTAGACTTCTGAAACTCTTTTTGGATCCATAGAATGCTTGAAGCTCGAAAATCAGTTATTAAATATATTTTCAAGTATGAAAGTAGTTCTCACAATACTTTTTATTGGCAAACTGTTATATGAGTTTCATTCCTCACTTTTTGTTTATAAGCTGTTTGATCGTATTTCCTTATCAGATAAATGGTAAATTAGGACAAGTAGCTGCGATGAGTATCCAATCATTTATTATCAGTGACTGCCATGGTTCCATATGTAAATACTGGTACAGTTCATTAGGTCAGGTTAGTTATCACTTGATTTAATCCCATAAATCGAAACTCTTTGATTTAATCAAAAAGATTGAAATTCATAATCTTAAGATTTTTTCCATAGTTTTCAGCAACTCTATCGCTCTTCGCAGGAATATATCATCACCCAATAAATTAGCTAGACTCATCAAATTTTTCCTTTCTACGGCTGTCTTTAAGCAACGGATTCTTTTCATATATCAAAAGTACTTGGATGCCAGATGTCACCTTTAGTTTTAGCAACACATTTGAGTAGCGAAATGGTTTTGAACTAAATCATTGCTAGTTTTGGCTTCTTTTGATACATATAATAAAACAAATTGGTCGTGTTTCTTAGTTTTAATTATTTATTCAATTAAGGCTGGTCGATTACTAATTGATTTTAAGCTTGATATTAAAATATTTTAAATATATAAAATGAATTTGATATACACGAAGTGGGCTTTGTCTAGAACAAAAGAATAACATGTGAGATAATAATTCTGATATTGCTCATGTAAATGTTTGCACTGTGAAGAAAAGTTTGAACATTATTCATGAAAAGTTATATAATTGAAGAGAAATTCAAGTTGAAATTACAAAGTTAGTCGATTTCAAAGTAATAGTAGATCGCTAAAGTAACCGCAACATGCATCTTTACATCATCATCCGATGCTGTTGCGGGCGTATTCGAAATATCCCGCAGTTTTCTGATGCCAACACGACTGAAATCGTCAGCACCAATGCCAACTGAAGGGAAATGGAGAAAAAGCGTAGTTAAGCATTGGATGGAACACTTCATGGTGGCTATTTACGCATTCACGATCGCATTCGTGTTCATCATAAAGATTCTCATGGAAATTCGTATCATGACCCTTCGTCCCGATAACATTCCCATCTTCGTGTACTACTTCACAACATTTTACAAGTATTTGTTTCTCGGACTAATTACAGGTTAATTTTTTATATTACACTCCGAATTTACTCCCAGACACAAAGCCATATGAACACCTTATAATGGTTTATCATTATTGGGGTGCGGCTTCATATGGATGATCAAGTTTCAAGTTTTGATCTACAATTGAACTACAGGAACTATCGCCTATATGTAAATGGTTGATAATTTTAGAATACGGATGTGATCATAAATTAAACCCTAGATAGACAGATCACCGAAGTTTCCTAGATGATAATGATATTCGGTATTTTAACTATAAGATTTCGTCAAAACTTTTCAGGAAACCTGTAAATGAGTTAACTGAGGAAAAATCAAAGAACGGCTTAAATGAAGACTTCGAAATTACTATTTGTATTTGCTAATTTTCTTTCGAATAAAACGAGTTTTCATCGAAGACATTTCGGTTTATTGAAAAAAAAAAACCCTTTCTCCAATAACTTTAGCCGCTTAAACATTCCAGTGACCGAATTATGATTTTCTGGTTATGTATTAATGGTTTCTCCCATCAGAATTTTCATTAACCACTAACTGAAAGCAGAAGTGTTTATTATCCGTGCTGTGGTGCAGCTCCCATGATATTTATTGATAAGATCAACAATGAGTAGATAACCTGCGCTGTCCCCGGAAATGCGCGATTTTTGAGATTTAATCCAAATTTAAACTACTCACTTTTTTATGAGCGATTACATTGAAAAAGATATTTAAGCTTAAGCCAAACAATTTATGTATGTTATCGTTATCACAAATACATAAGCAAGATGAAGGCATCAGAACTATATGTATTATAAGACTTTCTAATTCGAAGATTTCGTTGTCCAACATTTGCACATCTCATCAATGTACCCCCTGTCATATGCCAAACATATCAGTTCGACAGCCAAAATTTTGACACTGTCTACAATCACAACTTGCACGTCATCCGTCATCCAATCTAACCTCCAATAATGATATGAGCATTGTGGAACCGCAACGGTAATTGCCATTTAACAGCTTAGAAATGATTAAAAAAAGCACTTTTGTGCTTGATTATCATTTTGTCCATTTTGGTGAAGACTGAACATTGGCTTCATACTACTAATCAACAAATGGCATATAAGACTGCTTAATCATAGTGTCCTGCGTTTTCTCAGAAGAATGATACGTGACTTTATGTCCAACCCGTAATTGCGCCAATATCGGCTGAAAAGGAGTGACTGGACAACTGACCACTCAGAGTGCTGTAGAATGCATGTGTTAGAAAAAAAGAGCAAGCAGTAGGTGAGAGAATGATTTCAGGTTAGATATTCTATTATGTTCTGCAAGAGGACGATTGTGAAACATTTGTTAGTTTCAAATTTGAATAACGGAACATGAGATATTCTCTCATTGTATCAAAATATTTCAGGAAGCTCCCCCCGTGCGACTACTGTAAATGCGCACATATTGGTAAGGAAGGAGAGAGAAGCAGTCCGGGAGAGAATCATTTCAGGTCAGAAGCAGAGATGTAATTGTAGGCTGGAAAGGGAAAGGTATTCATCCATCCAGCGGCCACTCTCTCATGGTGCGTACCGTCATGATAATCTATCTTTTCACTGATGGCGCTGGTGTCAACCACCCTCTTCCATCCTTAGTTCTACTGATGCCAGAGGCTTCCCTCTCTCTTCAAAACCTCTAAATTCTCTCCATCAATTTCTGTTTGTTTGTTATTCTTCCCCCGCCTGTTCTTTAGTTTTTTTTTTTTCACTTCACATATCAAATCCTATATGTATGTCACCAGCACCACCTCTTCTTCAAACCCCTTTCATTCTTTACTTCCTTTCGATCATGTCTTTGTTTTCTTTTCCAAACTAGCTACCGTAACCTCTGAAGTGAACTTTGTCCTTCCTGAAATCTACCTCTCTGTCCGTATTAAATTGTCTTCAAGGATCATTTTCAACTATCCCTACTTCTGTCGTTTATCTTTCATTTCTCACAGATACAAAACTTCCTCCTTCATGGAAAGTTTGCGGTATCCATTAATTACTGTATTCTGCTCTTCTCAACTTGAAATCCTCAAGATGCTCAGAAGGACATACTGCGATTGCAATGTATCACTCACCATTACCAACCGTAAACATCCTCATGCCTTAGAGTTCATGCTACGGTAATATCAACGTATTCACCGATTTTGCTGCAAAATGCCACAAATGCATATCAACAAAGAAAAGTGATCGTTTATTATTGTTCATATTTCGAGTTCGAGTCTCCGAGTTTGATGAGCAATAAAATAATGGATGAAAACAGATCGAGTTCGCTAATCATTTAAGAAAGGCAGGTAATGAAAAATATACCGAATTCATCGTTTTTTTAATGTGCGACAGGAACTCCTTGGAAGAAACCATAGGTAATTAATTAATCGGATAGAAATCTACCTCAATTTTTTTGGAAGATCAAATTTCAAAATCATCATTTCCGTAAAGTTTACAACTGTGTCGCACGACTCATTAGTGTAGCAATGACGATGAGGAAAAAAAAGGTGAAAGAGGTCAGAAAGAGCGCAATAATGTCGCATGCTGCAATTTTTAGATATTCCGTTCTGAAATACAGAATGCTTCGAAAATGATTCCAGTTAGACTGAGATGGCCCGTAAAATCATAAACCGTCTTATGCGGAAACAGAAATTTCTTTAAAAAAAACTTAAATATGACCGCAACTGTCATCATTTGCAAAGGAACTCCTGTCATCGTTGTTTCCAATCAAATATTTTGAATAGTGAAGTTCTTCCAGAATTGCCAGATTTCCTGTGGAGGTCAGGGCGGGAAAAAATGGAAAACTCATTGATACTCGCAGGAATGACAAACTTTGACCTGTAAGTAGTTGGCAAATCAAATGAATTTTCAATTAAATCATAAAGGTTTAAAAAGGGGCGTATGGATTTGTCAGTATATCTCCCGATTTTTGCTGTCACTACTTATAACTATAAGAGTTACACTACTTATAA